CATTCCACCACCACACACGGCCACTCAAGGCTGACACTGGACTCTTATCTATCTCAGACTCACAACTCAGAACACCAGTTACAAGTGCCTTCAAAATAAGAGCTTCTGTTTAGAAAGGGAGTAAGAGCAATATAATATAATATTATCTAACAACCCCACTCGCTGTGGGGGTGTTAGAATACACATTTTCTTTGTAAAACCTTTTAGCTTTTGTCAAAAGATCAGCTATGATTTTATCAGTAGGACAACATTCCAAAACCACCTTCCCTGTGGCTACAACACCTATGATGAAATGATCTTTCACATCACATCGCACTGACCTCCCACCTGATGAAGACCATGGAGCGGCTCATCCTCACCCATCTCCGCTCCGTGGTCAGCCCCACCCTGGACCCGCTGCAGTTCGCCTACAGACCCAACATCGGAGTAGAGGACGCCGTCATCTACTTCCTGCAGTGGACGCTCTCCCACCTGGAGCCCGCCGGGAGCGCTGTGAGGGTCATGTTCTTCGACTTCTCCAGCGCTTTCAACACCATCAGGCCGGTACTGCTGCGGGGGAAGATGGAGGACGCGGGAGTGGACAGTAGCCTCACTGCATGGACCATCGACTACCTCTCAGACCGACCACAGTACGTGCGGCTGTGGGTCTGAGGTGGTAGTCTGCAGCACTGGGGCCCCTCAGGGCACTGTCCTCTCAACGTTTCTCTTCACCATCTACACTTCAGACTTCACATACGACACACACAGCTGTCACCTGCAGAAGTTCTCCGACGACTCCGCCATCGTGGGCTGTGTGTCTGAGGGGAACCAACTGGAATATCGGTCGGTTATCAAGGACTTTGTCGACTAGTGTGAGTGCAACCACTTGTGCTTGAACACCAGTAAGACCAAGGAGATGATCGACTTCAGGAGAAAACCACTTTTCCACACGCTGCTGAACATCATTTTTTATGACTCTGTGGTAGCCTCTGCCATATACTACACTGCCGTGTGCTGGGCCTCGGGCAGCACAGAGCCAGACAGAAACAGACTAAAACAAGTTGGTCAGGAGGGCCAGCTCCACTCTGGGCTGCTCCCTGGACTCTGTGGAGCAGGTGTGGGACAGGAGGATGCTAGTCAAAGCCACCTCCATCATGAACAACACCTCCCACTGCACAGGACTGTAGAGGAGCTGAGGAGCTCCTTCAGTGGAAGACTGAGGCACCCTCAGTGTAAGAAGGAGCGCTACCGCAGGGCCTTTATCCCCACTGCTGTCAGACTGTACAATAAGTCACTTTAAATAGTCACTGTTTGAAAACCTGCACTACTATTGACACTGTTTCCAATTGACACTTTTGTCGTACATAATTATCCTGCATGTAACATGTTTGCACATTTCCTCCTTTTGCACAATCTGAGTGTTCTATCCATGCCAAATGTGACATGTACATTTCTCCTCTGTGAGATAAATAAAGCACATCTTATCTTATCTTATCTTATCTTATGTGCTCGCATCTTTGTCTGTTAACAGGATTCTTTGTGAGTGTTATTGTTCCTTAGTTGTCTTCGAACACTTTTGTTTTAACATATTTGTAACTGTCTAAATCTTGAAGTAGCTGTAAAGACACTCCTGTACAGCTGAAGCTAAAGAGATATGCTCGACATGTAGAAAGGGCTACTGTCGGTTGTTTTTGTGTTTTCCATGAAATGAGTGAACTCTCTTTCACATAGACTGGCACAATATCCTGATGTGCTACGTCTGTCTGTCTCGTTTGAGCCCAACTTGCCTCACAGTAAACTTTTAGACCAAGTTTTTCTGTGGTGTTCTTTTTGAAGTATAGTCTTTGTTCAGTAGTACCTTTGAGATCCCTGAACACATGTTTCACTGTATTCCAGTGTTCCACAGTTGGTTCACTAAAGTGTTGAGAAAGTTTACTGACAACATAAGTGACGTCAGGTCTGGTGCAAGTGGATCAGTAAATTATACTTCCCACTGCCTCTCTGTGTTGTCGGGGCTGTTTTAACATTTTAACATTGTCTGTATAATCAAGTTTAGGTTCAAAAGGAGTTTCTCTCATTTTGCATTTCAAACCTTTCTAAAATCTTTTTCACATATCTCTCTTGTGACATCTTGACTTGTCCATTAGTTTGTTCAAAATCCATTCCTAAGAAATGTTTCAATATTCCTAATTATTATATGACTTGGACCGTACGTGCGCTCTTTTGATATCTTTCTTCGGACCGTTACCATGACAATCTGTCCGCAGCGCGTATCACACAAAACCAAGTCGGACATGAACATACTTCACAAATTGGTAAAGACACAGACGAGAGTCATATAATAAAACATTTATTAACCTCGCTTGCTCGGTCTGTACAGAGAAATATCAGACCTTGGCCTTTTTGCACAGACCTCGCCACGGCTCGGTCTGTACATTAAGGCTGCGGTCTGATATTTCTCCATAAAGACCTCGCGCTCGGTTAATAAGCCGTTAATCTTTCATTTTGAACCTCTGAGTCAAAGACGACGAGTTTCTCATGAAGAATCTCATTATTAAGGCTGTTGGTGCAGTGGAGAGGTCGGTTCTTTCCAAAAAATTGTGAAAATCCTCTTGTGCAGCTTTAAGCCAGAAATCTATTTGTGTGTCTGTGATAATGATTAATTTAATAAAATGTAAAGTACAACATTGAACTGTGGAGGAATGGATGAAAAGATGATGACTGTAAAACACGACTGAGGCAGACTCTACACATCTGCCAAACATGACACACAACAACACTACACACAGTTCATATACTCACTGTTCCTTCTGTATCGTCACATTCAGGGTCATGTTCCTCCACTGTCGCTGTGAAGACTTTGATCCAGGGACATGTTCCTTTTGCTGTTGGACATTTATAAATACATGTTTATTTAGTTGCAGAGAATATGAAGGAGTTTGCTCTTTTGGCCGCGTCAGTGTGGTCTTTCTCAGGGCCCACAGGGATTCCTGCGGCAGGAGCCTTCTGAGGTCTCTCCAACCGCTACAACAGCGCTGGCCTGGAGAAGGCCCTCTGTCAGTGGCTCCACAGGTGAGGCTCCTTCTGTTGGACACACTACATCACCATCTAAAGCACAGAACAGTTCACGTTCAAAGTTCACATTTTTAATTCTGAACTAGTTCAAAGTTCAGTTCATTTTGCTTTTTTCGTGAGATACTTAAATAAATATTTGTTTTACACTACGAGATATATATATATATATATATATATATATATATATCTCACGTGACGTCACGATGCCTCGAACTCGCGGGGCATCCGCCATACTGGAGGACAAGCAAACGCTGTATGATAGTGGCGTGCACCCGGGACCGCATAAACATGTTCAAAATGTTTGCCGTTTTTGGCTGCAGCAAAAGGAGAGACAGGGAAAATAAGTTGTGTTACCGACTGCCAGCCGTCCTTACTTCACACGGCTCAAAAACAGAAGAAATCTCAAAGAAACGAGAGAGAAATGGCACAACCATACGCAACAACAAAAAACTAATAGCCCCCAGAGCGCCCGAATATGCTCGGATCATTTCATTTCTGCTAAGTAAAATCAATTTGATGGCGGATTTAGTGTTATTCCGAAACAAACAGAAGTTTAAGGATAAAACATATCTGTCAGACTGCAACGTGGGGTTGCTCCATAGACTGTAGCTTAGCTTGTAGCATAGCTGTTATATATTTGGTCTCACACAGGACCTCACCCGGTTCACAGGGTATCTGACTTACCGAAGGCCAGCAGACATGTGAACGACTGAGCCGTGCTCCAGGGTGCCCCGTACTAGTATTTATTAATAAAATATACGGCTCCTCACAGTAGATGCAGAAAGCTCCATTGATTTGAATGTAATCTCATTATTTCCACTGCAGTGTAGCCACACATAGATCCATGGTGTAACAATAAACCCATTAAATGTTAATCGGAGAATACATTATACATATACATTCTTAATACACGTGCACAGAGGTTTTCAGAATTTTCTGTTCACGTTTTCATGAAAAAACACTGTTTTAATGCGACAATATGCGACCGCGGTAAACCTGGATGTAACGATAAACATTAATAATACATTTTAGGATGCATTTCCAGAGGATCTGATTCATGAATTTAGGTTGAGTATATATTTGGGTCACTAACTGCTGAAGTTTCAAATTCTCTGTTCAGTTTTCATGTAGTTCGAGAGAGTTCTAGTTTTGAACGTCCAGTTATAGATAGCTAGCAGGGCTGTTACTCGCCGGTTGTCCTCCAGTATGGCTGCCGTGGCTGCTAGTCACGTGACCGTAGGATCCCTCTATATAATCTCCTGTACACCTACAGGAGGAGAGCCTTTTGACTACAAAACAGACAAGATTTACATGGTTTTCAATGGGAGCAAAACGGAGTTGTCCCATCTCTGCTCATAAACTACAAACAGTAATGCGCTGCAGTGCGTGTGTCTATACTTTATGTCAAATGTAAACGGTGTAAACTTTGTCGCTAACTCACCCTGTGTTTTCATCACGACTCGGGCACATGTGAAAAGCACCAGCTCACAGTGTCGCACCGCAAACATAGACTGTATATACCGCAACCATAGACTGTATATACCGCAACCATAGACTGTATATATTAACGGACAGAGTAACGCCTATCTCCGCCGTTCATAGGAGTTGGCCATGAAAAGTGCTTTCATGGAGCAATCCAAGATGGCCGCGAGTGGTCCCGCCCACAAGAAAATTGTGAAAAAACGCATCTGCGCATGCGTCAGCCGGCGCAGCTCCATTCATTTGAACGAGAGACTTCAAAAATTCCCCGCGAGTAAACTAGAGTGGACCAAAAAAATCCACCCCCCTCAGCATTGACACACATGTGGAACGGAGCTTTGGGCCAAGAGCCAACTTTTGGTCCATCCTGTAAAGAAGTTTTTGAGAGGTCTGCTAACGCTATATGTCAGCATTGGCTAATTCTACTTCTGGGTCCACCCCCATCGGCCCGGAGTGGTATTGCAAGCATGTCAGCGCACGTCATTTTGGCCACTTTTGAGCTGGGACCCTCCCCCACTGACCGCAACACGAGTCGGGGTGCGTTCACAGACGGTGGAAACCATAGGAATTTTTTGATTTTGGCGGAAAAAGTGCGAGAATACAGGAGGGAGGAACTTTCTCTTGTTGCGTTTCAAAAGAGAAAACAGATTCCAACGTTCATAGTGATGTCTGCCGTTCATGACACATAAAATGAACTAATTCACGTTCAAGTTCTTTTTTTAAAAAATTGTTGCGTTCAGTTTAACGTTCACGAAAAAATGAGCGTGTTCAATGAACGCGTTCTTTTGAACTCGTTCGTGCACAATTCACATTGGAGAGACCCATGAGGAAAATGCCGTTAGACTTAGATTTAAGCATGTTTATTGATTGAGCATGTTTGGCGCCCTAGGCCCGGGAGGGATGCTGTTGAGCACGGCGCTTGCTCGCGTGCATAATCCCCCCCGGGGCCTAGGCACTGGTGGCGGCAGAGGCAGTAGGCAAGAACGCTTTGGTGAGAAAAGGAGGAGGTGGGGCGGCGGAGGCTTGCAGACTTCAGAAGGCCGGGAAGTGGGAGTCTCCGGCTTTTAACTTGCTGTCCTGGTGGTTATTGGTTGGCTGGATGTGGGCGTTGCTGGTCTGATGAGCCGAGGAAGAGCAGCCTGTAGATCTGGGAAAGCAGCAGCCGGGTCTACCACAGTGAACTTTCGCGAAAGCTCCATTTCACATTGGAGAGACCCATGAGGAAAATGCCGTTAGACTTAGATTTCCATCCATCCATCCATCTTCTACCCTTTAATCCATTTCTGGGTCAGGGGGGTGGCAGTCAGAGATGCCACCCAAGTCTCATAGCACCAGCCCCTCACTGACCCTCTGCAGGTGGTGAGTCCACAGGAGGACGGCTGCTCTCTGAGTGTGGGCATAGCCTTGATCTTTCAGCTGGGGCTTTGGGCAAAGTGGGGTTAAGTGTCTTGCCCAAGGACACAACGACAGCAGTCATCAGTGGGAGTCGATGGAGAAGGTGCAGAGGTGGGAATTGAACCCACGACCATCTGGCCTTAAGGCCAATGCTCTACCAACTGAGCTACTGTCCAACTGAGCTACTGTAGACTTAGATTTAAGCATGTTTATTGATTGAGCATGTTTGGCGCCCTAGGCCCGGGAGGGATGCTGTTGAGCACGGCGCTTGCTCGCGTGCATAATCCCCAAAAAGCGGGCCTGCGATTGGGATAGCAGGACATACTGCGCGGGCCTGAGAGCATGAGTGAGAGGCTTCTCGCCCCGTCGCTCAGCCAGGCTGCGTCCGCTGGGGCCCGTGTTTGTTTAGGCAGAGCGAGCTGAGAATATGAGCGGGCTCATATTCAGCAAGACGCTGAAGCAGAGGAATCTTTGGGCGAGCTGAAAATATGAGATGCATGCTCATATTCGCCAGACGCTGAAGCAGAGGAATCTGAGCGAGCTGAGAACATGCGCGCACGCGCATGTTCAGCCAGACGCTGCAGCCGGGCAATCTTTAAGCGAGCTGAGAATACGAGCGCATGCTCGTATTCAGCCAGACGCTGAAGCAGGGGAATCTTTGAGCGAGCTGAGAACATGCGCGCACGCGCATGTTCAGCCAGATGCTGCAACAGGGGAAATCTTTGAGCGTTTGAGGAAAGTGCGTGCCGCCACCAGAATCTTATTGCTTACTTGCTTTGCAGGGAGCTTACGAGGAAGCCGGTAGACGTTGTGCTGCCATGATAGCGGTCGCATCTGGCCTGATGTAGGTGGAGAAAGCCGAAGAGGACCAGCGCCCCAGCTGTTGCAGAGAGGTGTGGGGGAGCCCCAGCGAGGTCGCGCGCGTGGCGGCGCCTATCCTGAAGGAGTGGGCTGTATAGAGCTGGGGAGACAAATTGCAGAGGAGCAGTAGGGATCTTAGCTGAGCTCTGAACCAGGTTGCTGTTATGGGAAGGTTGTCTGGAGCGGGAATTAGAGGTCCGTTAAAATCTTTTTGCGGCGGAGGCGAGTGTAACGCATCATGGACCTGTAGGGGCAGAGAGATGTGTCGGAGCGAGCTGTTATTGTGTTGCAGGCGCCTTTGATCTTTAAATGTTTGAGATGAAGGTTGAAATGGTCAGGGGACATTATGTTGGGTGAGAAGAGCGACCTTTGTTTAATGCTTCCACTACGTCGAGATTATCACGCATGACAGAGATCCTCTTTCTCTGCCACGTGTGATTCCACGCGCGCAGGCCACGACCACTGGGAATGTCTCGTGTAGGGCAGAAGAGATGCTCCGGTGGAAAGTAGCGGCCACGGCCAGGCAAACCAATGGTCCTGGAAGAATCCCCCAAAACCCACGGAAGGGGCAGCGTCCGTGTAGAAGCGGAGACCTGTAGGGGCAGAGAGACATACCGAAGAGGGCCATTGATGTTGCAGGCGCCCTTACGCTTAGAATCTTAGGTTGGAGATTAGATAATCAGGACAGTAGGATAGGTTGGGAAAAGCCGTATCTCGGACCGCATTAAAGGTTGAGTGAGCAGTAGTGAAACGCTTATGCAGAGAAGCCATAGAAGGCGAGCAGGAAGATGCTGCGAGGAGGGCAGACATGTACTTGGAAGATGAGCCGGAATTCAGTGCCGCTCAGAGCTGCTGCAGGATGGGCAGCAGGATGGGGAGCCTGCAATCAGAAGAGTGAAGAATACAGGTATGGATGCCTTTGATTAAGAGTCCGATTGACAGCTCAGCGCAGCTACTCGGCCAGCTGCATCTGATAGAATCAGAAGATTAAGCAGGGAGATGAAGCATGACCGCCGAAGCGACCCTGGGAGCATAGGTGCCAGCGCAGCGCGGCATACTCAGCCGGGCTGCATCCATTAGAAGCAGGGTAAGCTTCTGAGAGAGTGGGTTGCAGCAGTAGCGGTAGCAGCAGCGGCAGCAGCAGTAACCTCAGATAATAACAGCAATAATCCTGTATCAAGCCGCGGCAGCAGCAGTAGCAGCAGCAGCAGCATCCTTAGAAAATAACAGTAATAAATCCTGTATCAAAGCCACAGCAGTAGAATGTTGTTGTAGCTGTTCAGTGTTTCAGTAAAAGAGATGCAAGTGAAGAGGTGTCAAAGTAAAGAAGCAGCAGCAGCACGGCAGCAGTAGCAGTATGAAGCAGCAGCAGCAGTATGAAGCAGCAGCAGTAGCAGCAGTAGCAGTATGAAGCAGCAGCAGCGGTTGCAGCATCCGTAGATAATAACAGCAATAATCCTGTATCAAAGCCACAGCAGTAGAATATTGTTGTAGCTGTTTAGTGATTCAGTAAAAGAGATGCGAAGTGAAGAGGTGTCAAAGTAAAGAAGCAGCAGCAGCACGGCAGCAGTAGCAGTATGAAGCAGCAGCGGCAGCAATAGCAGCAGTAGCGGTAGCAGTATGAAGCAGCGGAAGCAGCATTAGCAGGAGCAGTAGCACCACAATGCGATTCATACGAACAAACAGACGTGTCACGCCAGCGTGCGCCGCTTGTCTCCGTGAGCCAGGTTACATACGTGTCTGAAAGAGCCGAGCCGTAGAGACAGGTGCAGCCTGGGAGCCCGCGGAGCGGCAGCGGTAGGAACAGCAGCAGCGGCACATGTAGTAGTAGGAGCAGCAGGAGCAGGCAGCAGGGACAGCCAGCAGCAGGAGCGGCAGCAGGAGCAGGCAGCAGCAGGAGCGGCAGCAGGAGCAGGCAGCAGCAGGAGCGGCAGCAGCGGGAACAGGCAGCAGCGGGATCAGGCATCAGTAGGAACGGCAGCAGGGACCGCAGCAGCGGCGGTCAGAGAACCACGCCCACGGTTGTTTAACAGCCTGAGGAAATAAATTAACCCGAATCCGAAACATTCCCATGCGAATAACAGATGTCCCCTGGAGCCATCTTGCTGCTTTGGTTATGGCAGATACGCATGAACGATCACTTTTCCATGCGTTCATTAGCTCCAACTCCACTTCAAACCCATTGCAGATTCACATTGGGCCCTTTTTCTTTCTGCTGCACTTTCAAAATGCAACAACTGCAGTTTAGTTACCTAATTTAATACTAGTGACCTAGCTATTTAAATGCATGGCCCCTCCTTCCTCCCGCAGATAGACGAATTTAAATACATTCATTTAACAATAGTGACCTGCGAGTAATGAGATTAATGCTGTAAAGATGGCGCCGTGGCAAGAGCTCTGGTGTGTGCCGTCTGGAGCACGATGGGGTAGTCTTTGCACATTTTTCCAACGTGGTTTTACTGCAAGTGGCAGAACATGAATCTGAATTAATGCACATTGCTCCTCTTATATCCCTCAGACAATAGAGATTGATGCCATTTAACATGCATTGCCCCTCAGTTAGCTCAAACACGTGTGAAAAGCGGAGCCTGCAGACCAAGCACGGGGCAAAAACTGACGCCTGCAGTCAAGTGCGCAGGGCAAAAACCAGCCGCTTGCAGCCCAAACTCCGGGATTAATCCGTCCGCGGTCAGCACACTCACTGTACTCACATGCCAGGAGACTTGGGAAAAGCAACGGGACAACGCGGCACCGCCAATCGGAGGCAGGGACACGCACGGCACCGCCAGACCGTCTGCGCGCGGCAGCAGACCACGAGGAACAAGCAGCACAGGAACCCGCGGAGGGGCCCCGCGGAGCAGCCCGCAGAGGAGGAGAGCAGTGGAGACACGCGAACCACAGCAGGTGCAGGGACGCGGAGGAGGAGCAGACCACAAGCAGCCAGACTGAGGACAGCCGGGCCACGCGCACGAGCAACACGTGAGCAGAAGCGACCCCTCCAGAACAACGCATGCATTTGCGAACAGGTGCGTTAGCGACATGCACCTTGCAGACTTCAGAAGTTTGCAAACTTCAGAAGGCCGGGAAGTGGGCGTCTCCGGCTTTTAACTTGGTGTCTTGGTGGTTATTGGTGGATTAGATGTGGGCGTTTTGCTGGTGTAATGAGTAGAGGATGAGCAGGCTTGTAGATCTGGCAGCAGTGGCCGGGTCTACCACAGTGAACTTTCGCGAAGAGCTCCATATCCATGACTAGATCATATACGGAATCTGGACGGAAGCGGAAGTAAATATTACAAATTACCTATTCATGCCTAAACTTAACCAGCCATTCCCATAAAATAACCCCAACCCACCCTTAACCCTAACCTTAACCATCTTAATCAGACGCCTAAAACTTAACCAGTCACCACTTAAAGAGGTTCTCACCCCCGCTCCTCGAGGCTTACGTCACTCACATTTCCTGTTCAAATCTCCCTCCAAATGGGCGTAGCCTGGAGGACCAAAGGGGACAGGCGGGGGGGTGAATGTTGGGCGGGTCTAAGCTGTGATTGACACTTGACATCAGCATTGGCCGTGTCAATGATGGAGAGTGAACACAGCGACGCCAGCTCCACAGCTTCTGTGCGGTCTTGGGAGGTGGAGGACTTCTCTCCACCGTCCTCACCGGAGGTTGAGAGAGAGGAGTTTGAAAGAGAGGAGGCAGACAGCGGTCCTCAGCCCTATCAATTTGAGCCCTATCACCGGAGGAGCCGATGCTGCGGAGGCAGCGGAGGCAACAGACCGCCACAGAATGGGGCCTGTTTCTGAATGGT